CTCGATGAGCACGTCGATCGCCGGCGCCTTGTCGAACGCTGAGGCGACATGTAGGGCGGTGATGCCATTGTTGACTTTGGCGTTCACATCGCCGCCGTGATGGGCCATCACTCTTAAGGTATCAACGCGCCCTTTAGAAGCAGCCAAGTGGAGCGACGACAAACCGACCCCGTTTTGTCGAAGGGCAACGTCCGCCCCGGCGTCCAGGAGGGCTTGCGCCGCAGCAGCACGACCTGCCACAGCTGCCAGGTGAAGCGGCGTACACCCCTGGCTCTCCATTCTGTCTACCTCAGCCCCTCTGGCCAACAACAGCTGCACCATCTCCACCTTGCCGGCGGCAACAGCATGGTGGAGCGCGGTTTTCCCGTCGACATCAGAAATGTTGACGTCTATTCCGTGCTCGATTATCACCCTCACGACGTCCGTGTACCCCTGACAAACGGCACAATCAAGCGCCGACGACGCTTCCCCCTCGCTTCGAGAGCCCGCGTCCGCTCCGACATCCAAGAGAGCCTGGGTCGCAGCGATGTTGCCTTCGCCGGCTGCCATTTGAAGAGGTGTGGACCCCTGGCTATTGATGGAGTCTTTTCCAGCCCCCTTGCTGCACAACAGGAGCACCATGTCCGCTTCGTCTTCGATAGCAGCGATGTGGAGAGCGGTGTTACCGTTTGGACCAGCAGCATTTACGTCCACCCCGTGCTCGATGATCGCCTCCGCCACGTCCACGTAGCCTCCGCTTGCAGCTAGGTCAAGCGCGCACATCCCTGCGTTATCGTCAGGCCGAAGAGTGGCGTCGGCTCCAGCATCCAGGAGGGCCCGCGTCGCGGCAAGATGACCTCGTACAGCTGCCAATTGAATTGCTGTACGGCCCTGGCGATTCAACCCGTCTATGTGAGCCCCCTTGAGACACAGGAGCGAGACCGCCTCCGCCTTGCCGCAAGCGGCAGCGTGGTGTAGAGCGGTGTTGCCGGTAGTGCTGGCAGCGTTGACATCCGCTCCGCGCGCGATGATCGCCGTCGCCACGTCTACATGACCCTTTACAGCAGCCACGTCTAGAGGCGACATGTTGTCATGGCATCGGAGGTTCACGTCCGCGCCAGCAGCTAGGAGGGCTTGGGTCACAGCCATGTGACCCATAATGGCTGCGTGGTGAAGCGGCGTGAATCCTATGTCACTCAAGGCGTCCTTCTCGTAGCCGTTGGCCAGCATCAACTGCACGAAGTCCACCCTGTTGTAGGTAGCAGCAGAGTGAAGAGCGGTGAAGTCGGCCATGTTGGCGCCCGATGCTCGCAAGAGCTCCAAGTCCTGCATCCACATTTGCGGGGTGTAGCTCTCACAGCCAATATCGAACTGCTGCCCCTCTCCCGGGGAAACCTCGGGTGTATCTGCGCTGTCCATTGCCCTTTTCTCCAGAACGTGCTGGTGTGCCGGTTTTCTAGAGAGAGAGATAGACACAGACAGACGGACAGACAGACGGACGGACAGACAGACAGACAGAGTTAGAAACTGGAACAGCAACCACCTACCCAAGACTGGACTCGCTCCCTTAAAGCAATACATGTAATGGTCTATCCTATCGATATCACTTCCCCACTTTTCAACTTCGAATGCCCCAGTACAGCTACCGTCTTCTCCTGGCTATTCCATGCCTCAAACATCTCCCTGTATCTTCCTTCTAATTTTCCCAGCTCAATCGTGTACCCTACCCTCTCCTTCTTGTACAACGGACATTCCGCAACTACATGAATTCGCTCTTCGCACGCGGAGCCGCATTCACATTTGAACTTGCTGTCTTCATCGTCTACCTTCCTAAGTCTTCGTCTCGTTCTCGAAGGCCAATGTCCCCGGTCCTAAATTTTACCTTCAGCTTTTGTCCCTGCATCCATCGGTCCATGTAGGTACTCCTTGAACCCTATTCCTTCTACATAGACCCTCCTTTTTCCTTGGTTTCTTTCCTTAGATTCTGTTATTCTTTC